TTAACTCTTTGAGGTGTATGTCTTGTTTCTTTACCTCAGACTTTTTTTGGTAACACTCTTGTCAAGTATCTCCACTTTTGAGTATCTCAGGACTAGGTTTTGGGTTATTGGATGGTGGGTTCCATCCATGACATCTCTCCTTTGGCACTCTTTGCCCTTGTGTGCAGTTTGATATTCCCATCTTCATTCCCCATAGCTCCAGTGTTTCCTTCAGGCTCTCTGTTCCTTTTGGGTGCTTTGGGGAATGTTCTGGTCAAACTTCTGAGTCATTGATCATGATCTTTCCCGTCCTCCCATCCTTTGCATCCTTTACTGATGCCCTTGCTTCAGGTTGGGGAACTGTCCTTAACCCTTTCAGGGTCCGTCCCGTAGATCTACGGCTTCACATTGAGTGTCCAAACCGTAGATCTACGCCAAAATTCTAGTGCCGTCAAATTTAGCGCGAAAGCGCTCATAGGCCTACATGTGAGAGAACGGGTCTGCGTGGTGGGTGTGCACCATAAACAAAAAATCTAGGTGCCTGCATAGCATTGTGGGAACGCCGGCTCAGTTACCCTTGTTCACCATGCCTCGTCGCAAGTCAGCTCTCACTCCCCGGAAAATTGGGACTCTCCTCTTCCTATCTGATAGTTCTGACACTGATGGAAGTGGAAATGAAGAGGAATTCTACGGCTTTGATAAGTTAGTGACCGAAAATAATGACCAGGATATCGATAATAGTGCAGAAAACCCTGACGATCCTCAACCTTCTACCTCTGGTGTGGGCACTCGTGACTCACGGTTGGTTGTTCCTCAACGCAAGAGAAAACTAATATATGATGATAGTGACGTGGATTGTGATTTTATTGTGCTCGATGATCATTCGAGTAGTGATAGTGAGGAATCATATTCACCAGTGAAGCATCGGTATGTTCGCCGCCGCATGCGCTCGGGTAGTGTACCCTATGCTGTGCCCAGGGGATGGAGTACATCCCGGAGTACATCCCGTGGCCCTACACCAGTTTTAGGTAATGATAGTGAGGATGATGTGGCTACACTTGGCATGGATAGACCACAGGCATCAGTGGATGGTGTTAGTGGTGATGGCAGTGGCACCGCCATGCGTGACTCACCAGCCCAGGGTGGGACCCACACTGCTGACTCGTCAGTTCAAGGACAAAGCGGAGCGTCAGCCACCAGCCCACCACAACCACAACCACCCGCACAACCAGCCTATGATGTCCAGTATCCACCAGCAAACCGTATGTGGGATTGGCAGCAAAATCCCAATTTTGTTCCCAAGCCTCACCACTTTGATGACTCTCAAAGTGGAATTCTACCTACTTGTCCCCTTGGAACCACGGCCAATGAACTGGAATTCTTTGAATTATTCTTTGACCAGCCATTGATGGAAACTATTGTCAGGGAAAGTAATAAGTATTTTGAGTACACCATGGCAAATACGATCATATCACCACAGTCAAGACTACACAGGTGGAAAGAGACGACTGTTGCAGAAATGTATTTGCTTTTTGCAACAATAATGCTTATGCCTCATGTCTATAAGCATAATATAAAAGCATACTGGTCCACAGATCTGCTAATTTCTACCCCGGTCTTCATGAAATCATACCAGTGAACAGGTTTATCTTACTGTTACGTATGTTGCACTTCTCTGACAAAACCAGGCCTGACAGAAGTGACAGGTTATACAAGATTAGAAATGTTTTCATGTATCTCAAACAAAAGTTCAGCATATACTTTTATCCATTCAAGAATCTTGTAATTGACGAGTCTTTGATTTTGTTCAAAGCAAAGGTAGACTGTCATTCAAGCAGTATATACCGAGCAAGAGGAAACGCTTTGGTATAAAACTGTTTGTACTCTGTGATTGTGACAGTGGCCTGGTGTTGGATATTGTTGTATACACGGGTAGTAAAACATTGAAAGATACCAAGATGTTATTGGGTATCTCCGGTGACGTAGTGAGAAACATGATGGCACCTTATCTTGGTAAGGGGCATACATTATATACCGATAACTGGTACACAAGCCCATTACTCAGTGATTTCATGCAAGTGAACAAGACAGATGTGTGTGGCACAGTGCGTTCTAATCGTAAACATATGCCCAGGCTCAACGCAGGTGCTCGTGGTGATGACGTGCAGGTGTTTACTGCCAATGACATCATGGCATTACGGTGGCATGACAGACGAGATGTCACATTGTTGACAACCATTCACCATAATGAAATGCAAGACAGTGGCAAAGTTGATCGAGTGACTAATGAACGTATTCGAAAACCAGTGACAGTCATTGATTATACACAAAATATGCGCTTGGTTGACAAATGTGACATGCAGATTGGTTTTGTTGACTGTGTTCGTAAGAGTTACAAGTGGTACGTGAAACTTTTCTTCCATCTCATGGACATTTCAATGCTCAATGCATATAATATGTACCAAATAAAGACTGGCAACAGACCACCGTATGGTGAATTTTGTTTGTCTGTTGTCAGACAACTCATAATGAAGTACCAGGTAAGAACACCTGCTATACAACAAGGTCCTCGAATTACTCAGGATATACCCAAGCGTTTGAGGAGGGAAGGTGATCATTTCATAATACAGCTTCCTTCAACTCAGAAGAAATTTGCTCAGAAGAGATGCATCATCTGTGCACAAACAAAACGACGGCAACAAAGACGCAAAGACACTCGGTTTATGTGTGAGGAATGTAAGGTGCCTCTGCGCATGGTGCCTTGTTTCAAGGAGTTCCACAAGCTCCAGCAGTTCTAAAACCATGTCCAGTGATTGTAAATATGTAAATATATGATAGAACATTAGTATTATAGTACAAGATTTGTGCATGTTTATTGTAATAAACAACAGTGGTAAACAATAATATGATAATAACTTTAGTGCGGTTATTGTGTTCAATACAGTGAGTTTATATATATACATTATATACAGTATTGGTCTCTCAGGCCCCAAATGTTAGTAGGAATAGAAAAAAATTGGAAAAGAAAAGAAAAACTATAAAAACCACAAAATATTGTAATGCGCGTATGTGGAATTCGTCGATGTTGCCGCCACCACATCATTTTTGACAAACTTCTTGGCACTGTATCTCAGTAAGTACTGATCAGAATTTTTTTTTTTTGTCTTATTACCTTCACAAAAATATGCTCTTTAATTCTGTAAGAAAAAATTTTTTTTTTTTTTTTTTTTTTTTTTTTTTTTCAAAATTTCTTGGACACTGGAGCACCACTTAAGATTTTGGCCTTGGACCCTGAAGGGGTTAATGTGTCATGACTTCTTTTGCTGAGAAGCTTTGGCACAAACCTCAGCTTTAAGTTAGTGTCCTTGATACTAAAGATGGTTGTCCCTATCACTGCTATGCACTTTGAATACCTGTATTTTCAACTAAGGTAGTCTTTTCTGATGGTCACAAGGCTTCTCTTACTAGTGGGAGTACAGTACATTTATAGCTTTTCCTTGCACTTGCCTGAACACCTTGGTACCCTGGTGAACTAACTGTCATGGCTCCTTCAAGAGGTGCATGTATAATCATGTAACTAGGTTTCCTTCCCTTTTCTAGTTCAGTCTGGTATTTGCCAACTGAGGTCTTCTGTTGCACCCTGTGGCCATCCACAAGACCTCAGCCCTTCTTTCTTTCTATTTCTAGACCCTTTCACCTCTGCTATGAATGCTTTTTATTCTAACTGGGGGGGGGGGGGGAATTGGAGTTTCCTTATGCTTTTGTATGTCATCTCTTGCCTCTCTCAGTTGTGCATTCATTGCATCTTCACTATTTCATTATTACCTTCCAACCTTGGGTTGTGACCTTGAGGATTCCCTTTCTGTATCAGATTAAAGCTATCTCATAGTTGCAGTGGGCACTTCTGCATGACCAGATTGACCTCTGGGTTGTTATTGGTGGGTGTCTTCTACTTGTACTTGTGAAGTGAACCTTTATATGTAATCACACTTGAATAATAGCCTTCAGCTGCTAGTACTGGTGGTTGTGTTTGCATGCAATGGCAGAACCTTCTGGCCTTGCATCTTGATGCTGGCTTAGCTCAGGACTGAGAATGGAGGGCCTTTTATAACATCATCCAGTGAAATCACCCCATACTTCTTGAGCTTCAGTTCCATCTGTTCAGCAGCTATCACCTCCGTCTTGGGGTCTAGTGGTACAAGTCTGGGTGGTGGACCTTCCAGCAGAAAGCTATGTTTTGGCCTTAACAGAAAATGCTTGCTATGCTAGGTGCTCTGGGGTGAGGGAAAAATGTACCTGGATTTGAACAACTGGAGCCCAAGATGAACACAGTTGTTTAGTTGACACGACATAATTGAAGTGGGTATATAATGGTGATGAATCCTAAAAGTATGTGGCTGATTTCATTAGTTGTCTAATAGCTGTACTCCCAGCTTTAGTTTTGGCTGACATTTGGTCTTTGAAGCACTTTGGGCACCTCAGGTGATGTTAATCTTACAGACTAACAATACCTGGTGCTTGGGGGTGAAGGTAAACATTACTGAGTACAATGAGTACTATGACCACTGGACACTTTTGGGACCATTAGAGGCTAGTGTTGACATTAATGAAGTGTGGCATATTCCAGGTAGACTTCCCAGGGCTGATAGTACAGAAATTCAGTTTTCATTAGTGTCAAAATATGCAGTAGTATTTGCATTACATATTATACTGTACTTGTATTGAACAGATACTACTGTACACATGTGAAGAATACTGCATGATAAAATAACAAGAGAAATTTATCCTGATGTCATCTAGTCATTCCATTGAGAATCCTGTTGAATGATATTGTTAAAAAATTTATATACTGTTTGTACCTTTATTACATTTATAATAGTTTATGGAATTAATTCATTCACTGCTGCTTCTTAAGCAAAATTGGCCTATACAATATGTTATGTATTGCTTCCTGACCATAAATTATTGACCACTCTATGAAATTAGGAAACAGTGTGATGTTTAATTTTATATATTTACAGGGGCGAGGGTGGTCTGGTGGCAGCTTTACACAGAATGTTGGACCCAGACCACAAGGGCCTGGTAATAACAAGAACTATTTAGTTCCTCCATCCTCTGCATTTAAGGCATGTATACACCATTATAGACATATATTGCTACTTGAAAATCTGTACATTATTTTCATGCACTCAGAGTCTAAGTAATTACCTAATGTTTGATGTAAATGATAAAGTTTTGGATGGATTATATATGAAAGTGAATAGAGAGAAAAAATCTTAATTAACTTAATTCTATGTGAAGAGGAAAGTAAGAAAAACAAATTAGTGAAATACAGTTGGTGATTTGATATAAGGGCTGTGTAAGTCAGTCCATATATATATTGGACACTATCTTTCGTTTGGAAACTCCTTTATTAAAGTTTAGTCTCATGTATTGTTTTGTTCAAATATCAGAACTACAAATTGTTATGTGTATTGCATTCCTTTGTTTTAGTCTGAGCAGCAAGAGCTGTTGTCATCAGTTACTTTTCTTAAACTTTGTTAGCCTTAGTAGCTGCCAGTGTAAGCATTACTGAGAAGTCAAATATAGTCCACCTAAATCTTGTCTGTTTCATGATTTTTTTTTTTACCTTTTTTTTCTTGGTATGTGGTTTTTTTGTTGCTGCTGCTTATGTATGGCTGCTGAGAGAGTTCTTAATTTTTCCCCACATTTAGCACTTGTTTCCAGGTGCAAGTAAATAGCATCTGCTTTTCTTTTGTTGGCCTAACTACTTTGTAGAATTTTTTAATAAATGTTGAAAGTACCCCTCAAAAGCCCTTAATTCTTTGGGACAGTTGAAAAGTTTGGGAAAGATTCTGCATGAGACTACCCCCCTAGAAGGGGAGTTCCCAGAGGAACATGGCATCTAAGAATATAGATATAATTAAGGTAAGACTGGCAAGCTGGTCTAGAGAGTTAAGTGGTAACTTATGCTTTACACAAAAGTTGTGATATGATTTGGTAAGCCAAGATTTTCTTAGGAAAATATAACTTGCAGGATTCAATGTATGAATAAACATGACTTCATGGCAATCCATGCAATGTATTTATACGTGCATGTGTGTTTTAAATATTTTTAGATATGACCTCTGAACTAATATGGCTGGATAGCATTTATTTAATTCCATTTTTACCAAGTCTGTCCTATTTTTTGGGGGAGGGTTTAAATTTAAAGGATAATTTTTCATTTATCAAAATCTGAACACTATAACATCAAGTTTAGTGCTCTTTCATGAATAAAATCCTTGTAACGATATTTTTTAACATAACGGCCATCTCTCACTGAGACAGGTTAAACCCCCCTCCCCCCCAAAAAAAAAATATGAAAAGTAAAGTTTTTTCCTCTTTTTGCATTTAGTAATGTATACAGGAGAAGGTGGGGGAGGGGGGTAGGTAGCCCATTGCTCCCAGCATTTTAATCGCCTCTTATGACAAGCATGACTTACATAGGAAGGATTCTTCTCCACTTTCCCCATGGAGTATAATAATTATGTCTCTAAAGAAAAATTATTTTAAAATTTATAGAATTGTATACAAAATGAGGTTGAAGTGGAATGGGAAAAGTACAGCTATAGTCAGTTTGAGTACAGTTGATAAAATATCAGTATGTACTCTACTTTTTTGGGAAGACACCTTTTCTTTAGTAGACTTTTCCAGCAAGCATTGTCTGAATGATTTATTTCTTACAGTGTGGGAGTGGTATGTACAGTGGATATCCCGGGAAACACCAATTCCCCATGGACAGTGTGGAGGCAGTGTTGCCAGTGCTGGCACGCAGGAAGCGAATGTGTCGCTCTGACCTCCAGACTTGTGATCCCTGGAGGCTTCTTATGTCCCTCAGGTAAGACAGGTTCTTGAGCTGTATTTCTAGTTATAATTCTTGATTAAATGTTTGTAGACTTTTCCGCTTTCAGGGTCTGTGCTGTAGATCTACGGCTTTGAGTTATTTATTTTTTTATTATCACACTGGCCGATTCCCACCAAGGCAGGGTGGCCCGAAAAAGAAAAACTTTCACCATCATTCACTCCATCACTGTCTTGCCAGAAGGGTGCTTTATGCTACAGTTTTTAAACTGCAACATTAACACCCCTCCTTCAGAGTGCAGGCACTGTACTTCCCATCTCCAGGACTCAAGTCCGGCCTGCTGGTTTCCCTGAATCCCTTCATAAATGTTACTTTGCTCACACTCCAACAGCACGTCAAGTATTAAAAACCATTTGTCTCCATTCACTCCTATCACACACGCTCCACGCATGCCCCTGGAAGTCCAAGCCCCTCACACACAAAACCTCCTTTACCCCCTCCCTCCAACCCTTCCTAGGCCAAACCCCTACCCCCCTTCCTTCCACTACAGACTGATACACTCTTGAAGTCATTCTGTTTCGCTCCACTCTCTTTTACATGTCCAACCACCCCCAACAACCCTTCCTCAGCCCTCTGGACAACAGTTTTGGTAATCCGCACCTCCTCCTAACTTACAAACTCGAATTCTCTGCATTATATTCACACCACACATTGCCCTCAGACATGACATCTCACTGTCTCCAGCCTTCTCCTCGCTGCAACATTCATCCCCCATGCTTCACACCCATATAAGAGCGTTGGTAAAAACTATACTCCATACATTCCCCTCTTTGCCTCCAAAGGGACAAAGTTCTTTGTCACCACAGACTCCTAAGTGCACCACTCACCCTTTTCCCTCATCAATTCTATGAATCACCTCATCTTTCATAGACCCATCCGCTGACACGTCCACTCCCAAATATCTGAATACATTCACCTCCTCCATACTCTCTCCCTCCAATCTGATATCCAATCTTTCATCGCCTAATCTTTTTGTTATCCTCATAACATTACTCTTTCCTGTATTCACTTTTAATTTTCTTCTTTTGCACACCCTACCAAATTCATCCACCAATCTCGGCTTTGAGTTCTGGGTCCAAATCGTAGTTCTTCAACACAAGCTCAGCTCGCTCAGATAAGCTGTGAGTGGTAAATTTGGGCCTAGATATGAGAGAATACATCTATGTGGTATGTGTGCGCCACATATAACAAATCCTGCAGCACACAGTGCATAATGAGAGAAAAAACTGAGACCGTAATTTTCAATTAAAACAACGATTTTGCAGTATTTTTTCGTATGTTTTTTATAGTTGTATTTGCGATTTCTTGGACTCGTTTGATAGAATGAAAGATATATTACAGAAATAGAGATGATTTTGATTGGTTTTAGCACTGGAAGTGGCTTGAAACTGATCTCAAAGTGGAGGAAATGTTAAATTTTTGCCGATGTTCAAGAGTAAACAAATGACCTCACACGTCTAATACACACCAGCTGGTGGGTCTAATATATGTTCACAAATGTGGTGATATTATTTATACAATTATTACAATATTGCATAACAGTAAATCTTCTATTTTTTGGTTTGAATCAAAATTCATTATGTGAATAAAAAAATCAAAATGGAATTCATTTGTAAAGCCTCAAAATGTAAGTAATGAACAGAGGAAATGTTAGTTTAGTGCCAGGAATGCCTGCATTCTGAACCCTATTTTGAAATTGGAATATTTTTTGTAGTTAAAAAGGTTGACATGGTGATTTCTTGTGCTCAATTGATAGAATAGAAGTAATATTAGTGAAATAGCTAAGAATTTGATCGACTGGAATAATGTAATTGGCCTAAAATAGGAATCAAATTCAGCAAAATTGCCGATGCATAAATATCGCTGACACATCAAAATTTGCAAGAGCATAATTTCATAAATTTTCCATCAAATTTCGTACTTTTTGTTTTATTACCTTCAGAAGAAGATTCTCTACCATTTCATAAGAAAAACTAAAAAAAAATTTTTTTTTGAAAATTCTTGGACCCTGGTGCATACTTTGAAATTTGGCCTCTGAACCCTGAAAGGGGTAATGTATAAGCTGAAGCAGTGTTTCAAATTTAAAAATTCATATATATTATAGGGTGTCCTTAACTCACGAATGAGTTGTGCTAACTGTGTTTCAACTTTTGAACAAAATGATATTACAAAAGATAATGTATCACACACACTTGTAATTGTAGTTCAACATTCATAAAACATATATTTTCTGAATATTGCATTATTTAGACCTTGTCTATAAGTATGTATCTTTGTAACTTGGGTATTCGTAAGTTGGGTACGACTGGTGCACCAATTTTGATGCAGTATTTAAAAGATTTATATAGACTTAAAACACAGCAAACCCTTACATATTTTAGTCAATTAGAAACCTTGAGATTAGTTTTCATTTTTCCCCACTTTAAGAGTCCAAGGTACATCCTGATGTCAAGTTGGTTAACAGTAAATGCAATGATTTGAAATTTTTATTGAAAACTTTTTTAGAATTTAGAATACTTCTCTAGAGGTTTGAGGAAAATCAGCACAAAAAAACTATGACAACACACACACCTTATACTGGGAAGTGGACTGTGCAAAAGTGTTGTAATTATATTTGCATGATAATAAGAAGCTTAACTGAATTTACTACAGAGAGATATTTTAGCAATGGACTTCTTTTTTTTACCCAAATTTTCATTTTATTTAAAAATTAAAAGTGAAATACAACATTTTGAGACTAGTATTATGATACAGTGTATTGAGAATATTGTATGTAAAAATTATTGTAATCTATTGAGAAATGATGTAGTTGTTAAGTCATCAAGTGGAAAAAAAAATGCTAAAAACCTTAAATTCCAAGCTGGAGGTTATCGCCACCGTATGTGTAGGATGGGTCCTCTTCCTCTTTTGTGCTTCTATAGTCTTTTCATCTTCAGTTTCTGTACAAGTGTGTACTATTTTTGTCGTGCATGATCTTTGCAGGACGGGTGACTAATGTCATGTTTAGTAAAATTGAAAGCAGAGTTTCAGCTAAAACACCCTTTGACCACCTTTGATATACCTTTGAAGAGTTTCAAGAGTTTATCTACTCTCTGAGCCCGGCCATGGGCCAGGCTCTTCCGGTGCTTGCCTGGTTGATCTGGCACCTGGTGAAGATACATGTCCAGTTTTCTCTTGAAGGCTCCTGCACTTGTTCCAGTCGTGTTTCTGATATTTTCTGGAAAGATGTTGAATAGTCTGGGACCCCAGATGTTGATACAGTGTTCCCTTATTGTCCCCACTGCACCCCTGCTCCTCACTGGGTTATTTTACACTTCTCATATTTCTCACTCCAGTATCTTATGGCAGTGTGCAGATTTGGGACCAGGCCCTTGAGTACTTTCCAGGTATATATATTATCGTGTATCTCTCTCTCCGCCGCTCCAATGAGTACACGTTCAAGACTTGAAGGCGTTCGTAGTAGTTTAGGTGCTTTACTGGCTCAATGTGAGCCGTAAACGATCTCTGTATTTGTTCCAGTTCTGATATTTCTCCTGCTTTGAATGGGGCCATCAGCACTGAGGAATATTCTAAGTGAGGGAGCACTAGTGATTTGAGGAGTGTCACCATCGGCATTATTTCCCTTGTTTTGAAAGTTCTCAGTACCCACCCCATCATCTTCCATGCTGCGGAGAAATAGCATTCCTCCATCTCCTCTCTGAAAATATTACTGCCCTCCTGTATTGATAATATAATGGCCAGCAGCTGGCAGACTATCCCATACATCTTCCTTCATTTTATTCAACTCAGATCAAGTTTATTCTCTATAAAGATTAGAATGTGGGGTTTACATATTATAGGATATTGTGTGGTTTACATACTATATAAAACTAATTACAGAGAGGGCCACTATCACACCTAGCATGACTAGGCATATTAGGCAGACTAAGATTACTTCAAAACTATATTGGTACAGATTAAGCCTTTCAGGGTCCAAGGCCCAAATCTGAAGTGGTGCCCCAGTGTCCAAGAATTTTCAAAAAAAAAATTTGTTATTTTTTCTTATGAAATGGTAAGGAATCTTTTTGTGAAGGTAATAAAACAAAAAGTACGAAATTTGATGGAAAATTGATGAAATTGTGCTCTCGCGAATTTTGATGTGTCAGCGATATTTACGAATCGGCGATTTTGCCAACTTTGACTCCCATTTTAGGCCAATTACAATATTCCAGTAAACCAAATTCTTAGCTATTTCACTAGTATTTCTTCTATTCTATCGATTGAGCACAAGAAATCAGCAAGTCAACTGTTTCAACTACAAATTAAAGTGATCGGAAATTGTTAATTTGGCCAATTTAACACAAAGTTCAAAATATTCCAATTTCAAAATAGGGTCCAGAATAAACAATGTAGGTATTCCTGGAACTAAACTAACATTTCCTCTGTTCATTAGTTATGTTTTGAGGCTTTACAAATAAATTCCATTTTGATTTTTTATTCACACCAAAAAATTGAAGATTTACTGTTATGTAATACTGTAATAATTGTATAAATATCATCACCATATTTGTGAATGCATATTAACCCACCAGCTGGCGTGTATTAGACGTGTGAGGGTCGTTGTTTACTCTTGAATATCGGCAAAAATTTAACATTTCTGCTACTTTGAGCTCAGTTTCAAGCCATTTCCAGTGCTAAAACCAATCAAAATCATCTCTATTTCTGTAATATGTCTTCCATTCTATCAATTGAGACCAAGAAATCGCAAATACAACTATAAAAAACATACGAAAAAACACTGCAAAGTCACTGTTTTAATCGAAAAATCATGATTTCAGTTTTTTCTCTCATTATACACAATGTGCTGCAGGATCTGTTTTATGTGGTGCACACATACCACATAGATGTATTCTCTCATATCTAGGCCCAAATGTACCACTCACAGTTTATCAGAGTGAGCTGAGCTCATGACGTAGATCTACGGTTTGGACCCTGAA